CGGGGCCTCTGGCCCTTTGCCTCCGCTACGGGGGGCGGCGGCCCCGAGGCAGCAGGCGCTGAGCAGTCTTTGGTGCGGTCTCGAGCCCGAGCGGTGCCCCCCTTCGTGTTCACGCGCCGCGGGTAAGGGCAAGGGTATCTGCCTTGGGGAGGACATCCGGGAACGAGGAACGCCCCCCTCCCTGCATTTGAATCTGGACGACTGTCGTATTTTGGATCCCCGTCAGAGCAAGGGGAGGGGAAAAACCAAGTGGCATTCAGCGCCTGACTGCCCAGAAGGTCTTTTTAGAGAAGAGTTGGCTGAGGCTTGTCCCTTGCATAGAAGCTCCTCCAAAATCCCGCAACGACGGGCTCTGAGAGTCTTAAGAGCTTGGTTTCATCCAATTCAGCCTGCAAATTAAAGGCATTTATGTACCTCCTATTCTCGTAAGCCATAGAGGAATCTAAGGGGAAATGACCTTCTGTTCAGGTGCCTTGCCCTCCCTCCCCACAGTGAAATTGGACCTCTGAAAGTTGTGCCTGTTAAAGCAGAGCTATGCCTCTGTAGAAGGTGAGGCTACAAAAGAAACAGGCCTCGCCCGATTGGGTTCTCTGGACATGGAGCACCAACCCTATTTTTCCCCAGGGGCTCACACAGAATGGCCTGGACCTAGTGGGCTCCTAGGGACTGCCACTCCCTGTGATGGGAATTTGTCAGTAAATAACAAAAGACCCAACCAAAAGTGTCGATTGGGAATGGGTGGGAGTGTGGCCTTCCTCGCTCATCTTGGTCTTTGGCCCTGAACTAGCAGTGTCTTTAGAAGTGAGACCAGTATGCCCAGGCCACCACCCCACCTTCTTTAGAAGCCCTAAGTGAAGGGCCTGCTATTGGAATAGTTACCGTTGTGGAACAGACCAGTGATGAGGACTGGCTTTTGGTGCCTAAGCACCAAAGATTTCTTCAGGCATACTGTTCTTCCACCAAAATTAAGATTGTGCCTCCTCTTTGCCTGGTGGCGGTGGCATACGCCTTTGATCCCAGCACTCAGGAGGCAGAGGCAGGCGGATCTCTGTGAGTTCGAGGCCAGCCTGGTCTACAGAGTGAGTTCCAGGATAGGCTCCAAAACAATACAGAGAAACCCTGACCCAGAAAAAAAAAATGATTGTGCCTCTTCATTTGGGGTTCTGCACACTTGCCTGTGGTCTGTGGCATTTGCCATGACCAGGTGTGAGGCTCTAGCCCAACCTGTTCCCTTCTCTACACAGATCCATGTTCTATGATGAAGATGGGGACCTGGCTCACGAGTTCTACGAGGAGACAATCGTCACCAAGAATGGACAGAAACGAGCCAAGCTGAGGCGGGTACATAAGAATCTGATTCCTCAGGTGAGGGACTGGGTAGTGGTGGTAACCTACATCAGTATGTCAGCAGATGCAGATGGAGCTTACGGGGGAGGAGCTGGGAATAAAAGGAAGGGTCGTAGCATAGAGGCCCTGAGCTGACCTTCACTAGCTCTGTTTTCATGGCAGGGCATCGTGAAGCTGGATCCCCCCCGAATCCACGTGGATTTCCCTGTGATCCTCTATGAAGTGTGAGCCTGTGGCATGGCAGACACAAGCACCCACTGCCCCAGCAAGAAACTCCCAGGCTCAAGGTGTAGCTTCCATTCAGGAGTCCAGGCTGGTGCCACAACCCTGAATAAACTAAACTCCATTGGCCCAGAACCTTCAGTCGTAAAAGGGGCCGTCTCTCAGTGTTAACTGGTATTGGTTGGTCTGAACAATAAGTGGTTGGTGGCTGGTGAGGGCTAATGGCAGAATTAGCAGCCCGTTTACCCCAGCCACTTCTGCAAGAAGCATGGCAGGACATATGCTGGTCAGGAATGCCTGGTTCCTAGTTACTTGCCTGACCTGCTTTCTTCCAAGCTTGCCTAGGGCCCAGCCTTCCTAAAAGCTACAGCACTTTACAAGCAGAGTCTGCCTTCTTCCAGCCCCTGGGCTGTAGGGGCTGTACCCAAGTGGGAACTTCCTTCCCCTCACTTCCCTTACCCCTACCTAGTCAGAGCATTTCAGCCGTTTGCTACCTCGATTCCTCCTGTATTGGATAGAGACTGGGGATAGTGCCAGCCTCATTCTTCCTACCTGCCTGCCGCTTGTTCCCACTTGAAAGTGGACAGTTTACTGGCCATTAAATAAGAATGGGGATCAGTGTGGAAGGCTTCTCCTTTCACCCAGGGCTGGACTGATCGCTATGATTTCATCTAGTTGCCCCCTTCCAAGTTGAGAGGGTGCAGGCCGGGGTCAGGACAGGCTGTGGAAGCCTGTACCTGTGGGGACTTGCCCCAAACCACATATTCTGTCTAAACTCCCTTGTCTTTGTACCAGTCCCACCCATCCCCAACTGTGGGGGAGGGGCTGCCTACCACCCAGTGGTGAGTAACTCACGGGGCTGGTGCCAATAGCTATGAGGAGTTCGTCACCCCTTCTCCTACAGTATCTTCACCCCTTCAGGGTCAGTTAAGGGAAAGTACTGGAGCTCCTTGGTAAGGGTCAAAAGAAGGGAAAAAAATACATAAAAGGAGTAATTAAAATGTGAAGGTTTGTAAATAGTCTAGACTACAATAATGTTGGGACAGAGTCTGGTTTCTATTTAGAGATGGCTTTAAAATTTTTTCCTTATTTGTGGAAGCTCTGGGCTTCTAGGATGTGGGAAATGGCTTGGGGAGGGTGGTCCCCAGCACAGGAAGTCTGTTGTGTTATTTGTTCAATTTCAATAAAATTATTTGTAGACCCTGCATATGAGAGTGGCTTCCAGTGAGGCTTTAACACCCAGTTTCTAGACTACCACTTGAGCTGATCAGGTAAGCCTCTGGCCCAGGCTGGCAAGCCCTCCCAAGAGCCAGTGATAAGTCTGAACATTGCTTATAGCAATACCAGCCATGGCCAACAGGTGGCTGTGTTCACAAACCATCTCCAGCCCCGGGAGCCGCTGGACTTGTCTTATTTTGGGACTCTGGTGTCAGGGCTTGAAATCCTTCTGGAGATTTGCCTCGATGCCTTGCCTGAGGGGTGGGTGTGACCATATAATTGTGGGATCGTTCTGGTCCCAACAGTACCATATTATCTCAAGTGAGGTTACCGTTTAAGCCCCATGGACCTCAAAGTGCCAGCTGTAGTTGAACAGCAACCAGACACTTCCCACCATGCCCTTGGCCTCCTACTAGGCTCTGGAGTCCACACTCACCTGACTCCTCTCAGTTAACCATCGGACAGATGAGCTCAGGCTTCTGTTGCAGCTTCTACTGTAAGGCTCTGTCCTCAGTACTTCCTCAGCTCTCTGCTGCCGTGGGCATTCTGCCTACATTTCTCAGGGTATGCTGTGAGCAGGTTCTCTGCTGGGCCTAGCCTTTGGCCATAAGCTCAAGAATTTCCAGTTAGGAAGGAGGAATTCATCAACCCAGGGGCAGGGCAGTTGGCCTTCGAGTTACTCAAGGCCTAGAACTTGTCAAGTCTTGAGTAGGATCACCCTGTGTAGCCTAGACTTCCAGTTCTGTAGACTGACTTCCATCCCCTGTAATAAGCCAGGCTTAAGGCCCCTGTTCGGGGCCTCCTGTTCAGGGGCCAAGGCTCCCCATATCAGACAGTATCCTATCTCCCACCACCACCACCATCCTGCCTGGGGAACTCCCTGTTCTGGACCTGCCTAGCTGACCCCAAAGCTATAAACAATAGAGGCATGGGGCAGTGTTTCCCCACTCTATCCGGCTGGGCTGTACTCACTTCCTTCCTGCTGGCTGCCTAAGGAAGTGTCCCTGCCCTGGACAGTTTGGCCTGGCCTTTGTTTTCCCAGGGGTTCCCACCCTTGAAGCTTCCTAGATTTTTTTTTTTTTTTTTTGGTTTTTCGAGACAGGGTTTCTCTGTGGCTTTGGAGGCTGTCCTGGAACTCACTCTTGTAGACCAGGCTGGTCTCGAACTCACAGAGATCCACCTGCCTCTGCCTCCCGAGTGCTGGGACTAAAGGCGTGCGCCACCAACGCCCGGTGCTTCCTAGACTTTTGTCCCTTAGGAAGCCAGCACAGTGGTTCAGGGATGCTCCTGGATAGGACCACAGCCTAGACTGGACATCCAGCTCCCATACAGCTTTTTATTAGCAGAAGGACTCCCTAGCATTGGGAAGCCATTTGGGTTCTGAGGGGTGGTTGGTTCAGGGTGATTTGAGAGTAGACAAATTTCCCTGTACCTCCAGAGAGGGACCCTGCTAGTCTTCGGGGTCCCTATTGTGAGCCCCCTCTCCCCCAGGGACTCATACATCTTTCAAATACTCATGTGTAAGAAGCCCACAGGCCCTCCTAGCCCCTGCCCACCCCCACTCCCATATCACACAGGCACAGGCATCAAGTTATTGTCACATTGTCTTCTTTGTCACACTTCAGATACTTCCGCTCTCAATGGGAAAAAATTGACTCAGCTACTGGAAGACCCCACCCCACCCAAGTTTCCCCGTCATGGGCGAGATGGTTTCCTTCTTTGGCACCTGCTCTAGGGGACCATTAGCTGAACAACCCAGCAAAGAGTGTGACTCCCTTGAATACTGCCGCTTGGGCCCCCTCACTACTGGATTTGATGATGACTGAAACGTCAAGGAGATGAGAGCCTGACCCTAGGCCCACATCCTTCCTGTCACTTTGCACAACTGAGGGCCAGATCCTACTCAGAGGAAGGGTGCAAAGAGTAGCCAGCCAACAAGGGAAACGGGGTCAAGGGGCTCTCCTCCCCGCCCACCCCTGTTCCTGTCCCTTTCCGCCCAGAGGGGCAGCAGGAAGTGAGGAGAAAGGGCAGGGATGGGAGGCGGGAATGGGTGGGAGGGAATGGGGTTTATCAAATCCCCAGCAGGCTGCTGACAGGGCCGCAGCTGGTAGAAGTAGCCTGACTGGAGAAGCTCACCTCAGGAAGAAGGGAGGCCGCCGACCTATTGGGCCGACGAATTCCCACACAGGTGAGGCCAGAGACGACCACAAAGCTGGTGGGCCCTGCCACAGATGCGCTCGCTGCAGCGGGGCTCCCTGGCTTTCAGGCACGCGGGCGGGTACGGGCCGGCGGCTAGATGCAGGCTGTCAGGGAGCTGAGTCGTGCAGTGGAGAGCAGATCTAAGAGGCCATGGACAGCTCTAAGCCTACCCCCTACCAGAAGGCGGTTGCAAAGGCAGAGGGGCTCCGAATGTGGACTAGAAGCACTGGGGAGCCACTGCAGCCTACTGTCCGCAAAGTCCGGCCTGAAACTTCTGTGACCTGCACTTTATTTGGAGTTGAGTGGGAGAACCCCTATGGGCAACCATCCCACCTCCACCTCGTCGCAGAGACTGGACCGGAGAGAATCCAGTGGATCCGGAGAAAGCGGGAGGACCGCATTCCTCTTAAGCCAGGCTGAACTCCAGCCCCTCCGGCGGTCGACTCGGCGACATACCCCTGGTTACCAGGACGACCGCTGCGTCTGCTTTGCCAGGAGAGGGCTCAGAGTCCTCGCTGGGCCCCCTCTTCTAGACGGGCAAGGGGCGGGGCTTCCCTCTGACCGCAAACTCGCGTAGGGAATCTGGGATCCCAGAAGGCGGGTCATTAACGTCCCCAGAGGCTCCAGACCCACTCAGGTCAGAATCTCTTATACTATATATACAAAGGGCCCACACTGCTAGAGTCCACATTCAGGCATGTGGGACTGAATCCACAGCCACCCCCC